AGTCACTACATGCACAGTTGTCCTTTAAGTAAAAATAGGTCCCATAATGGCTCCTCCTCACACCTAGAATTAGTACGGGACATGGGCCCTCCACTGTAGAACACCTACCAAGAATGAAGAGCTATTATAACTGCCTACAGAAGAAATTGCTTCATGAGAGGTTACATGACATTCTTTCTACTTGTCTGCAACAAGAACATTATGTTTAGGTAACTGGAAGGAAGCAATAGAAACACATACGCACCAAGCTGGGAAAATCTTGAAGAAAGAGTGTTTGAGAACAAAGGAAAATTTTCTTCCTAAAACCCTGTAACTGATGTTCTGAAGATGATTTAAACTCTTAAAATTTTATTCATACCCTAATGCATAAGCACTTGCTGTAATTGCCAGCCTTAAAGTAATTGCACTGAAGAGGGTAGGAAGGAAGACTGGCTACACACATTTACTGCTAGAAGGAGCTGTAGTGCTTCCAAAACCGTGAAATTCTCTGAGAACTCCCTAACTTAACTAATTATTTTTAAACTATAAAGCTGAAGGGTGCTGCCTGGAATGGCACAGACCTTCATGGCAGTGCTAGGCAGCTGGCTGGGTACGCTTTGTGATCTTTACTTATCAAGTCAGACCTCTCAGGGCATGGGGAATCCTCACTGCCATTGTCCTCAGCTGCTAACAGTTGTCCCCTTCTCTGTCCCTCCACAGAAACTGACTGCACACACAGCCAGCCACATGCAGAACCTGGGACCATTCCTGGAAGTCTGTTTTTCCCTGCAATTGCTGGGAGCAGACACATGAGCAGTTACTGTATCTCAGCTGAGGAGTGGCAACTTTACCTTACTCCAAAAAAAGGAAGTGCACCTTTAATTGCACACTGAAATTTCCTTGTGGTAGGAGAGCAGTTCTTCCATTAACTCTGCAATGGAATACTGTACCTGTTTCAAGTATTGTGCCCAGTTTTAGGCTTCTAAAACACTTGTGGAATAACTAACAAAGGATTACATAAAAACATCGAGTTTTAGTCTATGAAATGAAAGATTTGAAGGGTCATTCACTTCTGGAACAGGTAGCAGCAAAGGAAATACATCACAGTTGCTGAGAAACAAGAAAATTCCTAAGTGCAGTTAGGGAAATTCACTTTACACTGGAGGCAGACATTTCCTAGCATGAAGTTAGACAATCATTAGACTTAACTGGAAGACTCAACTGTCCACTGCTGACGAGTATTTAGGAAAAGTTAAATATTTGTGAGGAACAGTCTAGGCAGAGTTGATCCAGACTTGCAGCAAGGAGAGGACATGTTTTTGAGGTTCTTTCCAATCTTTTATTTCTAATTAAATATTTCCCCAATACTTTGCTGTAAATATCGCACAATTAGGCCCCAGATAGAAGTGGACTGGACTGTGCTGCATGGAAGAAGTAGATCAGGAAATACTGTTAGGATATCATCCAAATCACTGACAAGTTCAGGGGGAGTAGAGACCAATGGCATATAACAACAAATGTCACCTCAGATTATGCTAGAGAAAATATTACAGCAGTGAAATGATAAAGACTGTCCAAATCAAGTGACAGGCTTTATATACAGGGACAGATTAATTTGTAAGAGTGCAAGTTTCCCTGTCGCGTAAACTGTCCAGCAGGAATGGATATAAACACTTTCCAAACCTTCAATTGTGGAAAGATTGTTTCAAACCAAGGTGCTGCTTTATCAAAACAATTTCCCTCTTGTACTTATGAATATCACATGAATGGATTTCTGCATTGTAAAATACCGTCTTTTTCACACTATTTTTGTTTACACTTGTTTAATTTTGGAAGGAGCTCTTAGAAGGGGCTTACATACACTTTTCAGTTTTGATTTCACAAATCTTCTGCATTGTAAACCAAGACAAAGGGAATAAGATTAGAGTCTGTTTAATGTATTATCTGGAAGGATTTAAAATTAAAGAATCTCATGTCCTTAGGTGTATACAGAATTGCTTATTTTGGGCACAGGCAAATTATAGTGTAATCCACTTGGCATTCAGGGGGAAAAAGACATGAGTCTTTTGAATTAATAAAGCTGAAACTTGGAGAAAATGAACTGTTCAGCCTAATTTGCACCAGCTGTGAGCCACAGGTAGGACCACAGCACCCAATTTTATGAACTCACTTCCTGATGTAGTGATGTGAAGAGCCCGTGCTCTTCTGCACAGGGCTAGGCTGGTGATGTGAAGGCTTTAACATTATACTTAGTATTTGAAAATTTGGAACATCATAGAAAACATAATCCAGAAGAAATATGACAGAAGTAATAATGTCACATCCTCCAAACAGAACAAAAAGAAGCAATAAACTGTCCTGAGCAGTTGGCTCAACTGCCAGAGTCTGCTGGGTTTTCACTGATATTATTTATGAGACAGCACAACTGGCTGCAAGCAGGTATTGGTTTTAAGAGGTACCGCACTCCCTTGTCTTCATACCACACATACATGTTCAGTAAGTTACTGCCCACACTCTACATCCACTTATATTACCTTCTATATACTTTATATATATTTCAATTGCTGCAAATCAAGAACTAGTTGGAACATCTCTGTCCATGAAGTTATGGCATGTATTACAAATTCAGTTTATAATGGGACAAATAAAGTAAATTTTTTCTCTTTCTTTTACTCCAACTTTCTAAACAAACCCTGTTTGCCAGTTTTCAGTCTAATTTGCAAGACAGCAATCCAGACAGAATCTAGGTACAATACTGATAAACAACATTAAGGATGATTCCAGTTCTTTCAAAATTAATGTTTACTTAGTATTGCTGTCTTTCTGAACTCGAGTAGGTGGAAACTACTTGTTTATTTTAAAATATTTCCCCATATATTTCACTGTAAACCAGCAATCTGGTGGTGAAAGGACTACAAACACATTGTATGCAGAAGAATCCAGGACATAAATGGACTCAGAACTGAGTGAACAAGTCTGCTGTACTGACTCACTGCATTTAAGACATTTTCACAGCAAACACTCCATGGATTATTTCATACTTGCCTGTGCTTCAGACACTCAGCTTTCTATCACCTTTTTTTATTTGTTTATAAACCCAGAGGGCAAGGCTGCAATTCTCTAACTCTCTGAGTCAGTTTCAACAAACTACTGACTACTTTGCACTTAAGATACTTGTCCATGGGATCAAAAGTGCTGTGGTCTAGCCTTTACAGTTTCAAAATCATTGGAACAAAAAAACTAAACAAAAAAACCCACCAAAAAAAAACCCAAACCAAAAAAACAAACAAACACCCAACACCCCAAAAAAAACCCACCTAAAAAACACAAAAAAACCAAGGAAATTACCTCACCCTTTCAGGTATGTTATCATCAGGTAACTTGGCCTGAAATTTTTTAGGAACTTATGAGGATTAGCTACTCCTTCCTCATTCCATGGGGCTTCCATAGTCTTGGTCTAAGGCTAAGCTAAAATAAGCATCGAACAAGTGCAGTCCACATGTAATTCCATTACACAAGAACAAAAAAAAAAAAAAGATCTTACAGAGCACCAGTGGTGTTACTGTAATTCAAAGCCAGCTGGCTATAAAGCTTCAGGCTATTTTGGAGAGCAGTGGTAATGAGATGCATGTACATTTCTTCTCAAACCATACAAACTGTATTATGCAATGCAAAGAGTGCAATGAAACAAACTTGTGGTACAGCTGCCTGCAGATTTACATTCAAGGGGCTACTGGCACTCTGCCATTCCTGTTTATATTCTATTCATATTACTTCCATGTTTATCCTGTTTCTACCAGGCAGGACAATCACACTAGTTTTTATTCAACTTTTCCTAATTGAAAATAAAGCAAATACAGTACAGTATAATAAATTAATATAAACTATTAAGAACATTCCTTGCAAAAAATCAGATACTGTTGATTTGTTTTAGGTATATTCACATATCACACATATCAAATGGAAAGCACCAAGTCCAGGAGTCTGTTACTTCTTCCTTCTGTTTAGAACCGGGAAAAAACACCCAAACTGTTTTGGTGTATGCAGTACCTTTGGCAGACACATGGTTTTTTAAAGCTTTTTTTCTCATAAATTGCAGTCAAACATAACTATATAATGACAAGTCATAGATGTGTAAATCAAATGGGGCAAAACAGCTCTAAAACTGTGTAAAATTCTTATCTGGAAAATGCAATGACAAAAGGGACCCAAAGGCCTCTAGTATTACTGGTGTGATCACAGGAAAGCCAGGAAGCCCTACTATGACAACAGCTAGCTAACATGAGAATTCTGCTTTCCTCAAATAGTAAGTCATCTGAGAGGGGAAACTGATTGCAGATGACAGAGGAAATGAAGGGCACAAACTGAAGGGCATAAACTTAAAGAAGACCTGTTGATGTTATGAAGAAAAACCCTGTGGAGTTGAAGCTCATCGCCCCCTCACTTTCACCAAGGGACAGAAACACAGAGAAAGACACTCTGTCTAAGCAGGAACTTTGCTCTGGCAGTCTGAACAGCCCTTACGAGACACGTTCTTTCCCTTTGATGATGAAAAACGCAGCATAGGTAGATCTCGTGGTCCAAGCGCCAAGCTTGGTGTCCAGCCAAGGCAGTTTAAATGCTACATGGAATGCTGAATGGACTAGGACACAGAATCATAGAATGGTTTGGGTTGGAAGGGACCTTAAAGACCATCTAGTTCCAACACCCCTGCCACGTAGAGGGAGGCCACTATCAGATTAGGTTACCCAGGGCCCCAGCAAATCTGGCCGTGAACACTCCCAGGAGTAGGGCATCTGCAACTTCTCTGGGCAACCTGCTCCAGTGCCTCACCATCCTCTGAGTAGAGAATTTACTCCCAACAACATCTAATCTACATTTCTCCTCTCATAGTTTAAAACTGTTCCCCCTTGTCCAATCACTATCTGCCCATGTAATAGAAATGACTTACACATCTAACAGCAACAGCCAAGACTAAGGAACAATAGTCAGAAGAGTACAGAGGCATAGTCTGGTCTTACCATCCTGCCCATCCCTGTGGCCAGACTTTGCAGCGTTCCAAGTAGTTTCTACAGTTATCCTCTGGCAGTTCTGAGATGAGGTTAGAGATTGTGGTTGCTGTCTTTCATCCCAACTGAAAAAAAAGCATGCAGCAGTCACAAAGCAGTGATAACCTTTTCCCTCTAAAGCCTTTCCTGCCAATATCTCGATGTCCAACTACACAATTACTTTAATTTACACTTACTCTCCACAACTTTAGCTGATCCGTGGCAGAGCTGTTGGTGCTCTTCTTTTATAGAAAACAAAAAAACCCAAGTGCTTCTAGACATTTCAAATAAAACTCACCAAATTAGTAACATTTAAAATCTAGTCCCTGATTATTTCTTAGGAGTACCAGCCTATGAAGATAAAGTGGCTGTTAGAGGCAAATAATCTTTTTTTCCCCCATGCCATAGTTTCTATTCTGCAAAGAGCTTTAAAAACCCCAAACAAACTGCTAATGGATTCAAACTATTAGGTATGTAAAAAAAGCTAAAAACCCCATTTCAAATACACTCTCTTTTGCCCCTATCAAATCTATCTTGTACCTAAGTATTTGGCTCAGTGTACTGCTGCTTATCTTTAACTATCAAACTTAAATATTCAAAATGTAATTGGAAAACATGCAACTTCACAACGCACTGATTGAGAAATACTGTTCATCATTATAAAAAAAACTATTGCAACAAGTGGCAGAGCATTTGTTAGAGAAAACAATGGCCTTTGCTCCTGACTGCTCCCCCACAGACAATTATCCTCATGTATTTATACATACTAGTTTTGCTTGCCTGAATGTCTTCACTTTCTTTTCAACTCAGTATTTTTATGTGATCCTTCACAATGCAATCAGGAGGGAAGCAACAGTTTTAAATCAAGCACTTTGAAAGACAGAATGGCTAACAAGTACGAAAGACTCTCTCTTCCTTATTCAGCACTGCCACATCTGAAGAGGAGAAACTGGTTCCACCATCAGGAATCAGCTGTACAGAGATTTTTCACTTGCACTGGTCTGTAGTCCCAGAGCTTAAACGCTGACATGAAATTCACATAAATATAATTACAATGAAATAGGTAACAACAGAGAACTTGACTTCCTATGCCTGTGCGTGAAAGAGGAAAAAAAGGCAACTCTTGGAACTAGCTAGACACATTGCAGACAGAGCTGGCTTACTCCTCTAACTCAGGAGGAAACACAGTGTCAACTAGAGTATTGAAAGGACATAGAGGTTTTATTTTCCTTCTTCTAAAATAGTCCAGGAATGGGAATCAGAGTTAAACAGAAACACGCCACACCTTTAGTATTTCTCCACTAGCAGGGAAGTGTATGTCTGAATGAGGATTCAAGCACATGGTTAAGTCCAGACACCACAACTCATTCAGAGTTAAAACTTTAGTACGATTATGACTGTGCTTTGTGACCTTTCTGTTTAGGTTGAAAAAACATTTAATGTGTCCTTGTGAGATGAAGCTGAAAACACAGATAATAATACTCTAATGCTAATTAGCTTTCAGGTTTTCACAAGATCAATAGAGACTATGTACACACAAAAAAGGAATACCAGAATTATAATCACAGACTTCCATCTTTTCATTACATACATGGTGAAAAAAACCCTGCAATAGAAAATAACTTTCAGGGTCTCTCCTGCATAGGAGGCAATTTGCATTTCATTGCAGGAATCTTAGCGTCACCAAAATATTTGTTTTCTTGTAACAAAACATAACTAATACAAACACACACTTGGTCTAATGGGAATTTAAGTCTCAAAGATACTATATGGGTTTTCAAAACGAGTTCTTTTAAACAATTATTAACCTGAAAGGGTCTAAGAAACATATTTGCCAAGTGCCATGGAGTGCAAAGATTTTGTATTATCTTGTCCCTGGAATACCCTGGGACATTACTTTGGCACTCAAATAGAAAGTCCTAATTATACACATTTATTGTTCTTTTCAACCCAAAATGGTAAATCAGTCTTTGACCTCATGAACACTGCTAACCAAATTGGTTGTATTTATCCTTAATTTTCTCATGGAAGTCAGATAAAGAAGCTACAGTTTCTTTTGGTGCCAGCAATGTCACACATAGAATGAGAAAACAAAACCACTGTGTATCTCCTATATAAGAGGAGACAGATACTTTCTTTTGTTTAGAAAACCCTTTTATATTCACTGAAAACAGAACTGATATAGCTAAGACATCTATCCCTCATATTTTTTGCCTGACTGCTCTAAAAGTAGTAAGCACTAACTGATTTGCTTTCTCTCCATTTATAAAATTTACTTAATATACCAAAGGTGATATTCCTCTTAAAAGGAAAGGGGGAAACAAAACAACAAACAAAAAAAAATTTAAAACAAAACAAACTAACAAAAAGATAAAAAATAAGCAGAACAAGCACATAAATCAGAAAGGTACAGCTACCCTGTCAGATAAAGCTATGGAGGGTATGAGAAAAATACCGATGCAATAGTTATAAGGCATCAGTGGTCATGGACTGCAAATAACAGAATACCCGCAAATGACATGACATTAATCTCCATTCACAGGCACAACTGCAATCTGATATAAGCTGAAAGTGATATGTGTGACCTAAAAACCTAAACCAAAAAAAGATGTCTGATTTATCACGTCCTTATTATTGTCAGTTTTCAGACCTCAGATCCTCCTAGAACAAAAGAACACATACATAAACAAAGTCATTTTTAGAGATTAATTCCTATATTTTGAGGCAAATGCAAAGAGCACCATTGATTGACACATCATGACTACTTTCATAGGAAGAGCAAAGATAAACGATCAGTGAAACATGAACCAAAAAAACCCTCAGAAAAAACATGCAAAAAAAGCATATCTTTCCTGCAGAGAGAAATCAGGCTGGAACCCTAATTTCAGTGAACTAAAAAGTCTGTGATTAAAACAAAAATCCCACAGCTCTCCACCCCTAATCACCAACCAAGTTTAGATTTGATTATAAGTAGATTGACTTCAGTCACAGTACAGAGTGATATAAGGAAAAAGGAAGTAGACATAACATAGCTCTGATTTTAAATACTTTGGAACTACGTAGTGCTCTGTACCCACAGATCTTCAGACCCTTCACAAAATGCAAATAACTGTTCCTCTTTCCTCTCATTCAAAGAAATAAAAGCAACAATGATAAAACAAAAAATAGTGAGAACTGACAAAGGAAGGACCTGCAGACAGGTCTCACCTTCAAACTGAAATCTGTATTTGGACCAGTTTGACCCAAAGTAGAAATTGAAATACTCATGCCCCTCAACTGGAAAATTTAGCAGCAGAATTCCAGAGTCATTCTCAGATTTTTAACCCGTTTGCCTAGTAGGGTCAGTGCTGAAATGGAAATATGAAATTCTGATGATTTTCAAACATAAGTCTACCTTAATTTTCTTACCAAAATTCCCACTTCTCTCACTCACAGATTTAAGAAACAGCTTCAGTTCCCCAGAAGCTGTACTTTCAGCAAAACTGGCTATTAATCTAGCAGTGCTTTAGGTAGGCTGATTAGCAGCTGAACTTACATTTCATCAGACAGAGAACAAGCTGTCTTCCATTTTTTATGGCAGGGCTCTGGAAAGACTCCTCCTTCATGCTGCTTATTGAAAACAGGATCCATTTAAATTTAAAAACAAATAAACAAACAAAACCCTTTGCTTGCAGTTTCAGCAAATTAATTCATCAGTATTATCCTCCTTTGTTGAAGTTCCTCGAGCCTATTAGAAACACACATTTTCACTTTACTGATGTTTTGCTGTTCTGCTTGTAAGATTCAGTGAACAGCTGCCTATTTATCTTTGCATGTACATCCACACAAGTTGTGTCATCTGGCCATTACCAGTGTGATCAAAGTTCCAAGCACACAGGTAACTGACCTCAAACCACAGTGTTTGAAGTCCTTGTTTGACATGATTTGTGTTACTCTCTACGTCAATAGTTATTTCATCTGTTACATTTAGTGGCCAGTCTTCGCGAGCGAAGATCCGGGGAAGGTCTTTACACCTTCCAGCCTGCGCATTGGATTTTTTAGGTGAGACACAGTGTGCGCGGAACTGAGCCCACCCTTTAATCCTAAGGTTCATCTGCCGGGGCCAAGCGAGCTTGGACGGTGGCAGCGAGGTCCTTAGGACATAGATGAGTTGCCTTTTTTTAAGGGCTAACGAGCTCCATCTGCCCGGGAGTGGCCCTGACTGGGAATCGAACCCAGGCCTCGGCGGTGACAGCGCCGCGCCCTTACCACTAGACCACCAGGGGCTCCATCTGTTACATTTACAACTAAACAAAATGATGAGAATAGAAACCACTCAACACAGCTTTCTTAAGACATTCTCCGGTCTCAGTACAGGAATAATTTCAACTATACTAGCAAATAGCCTACTTTATAAGAATAAGGCTATATAGTATCTGCAATGAACACGATTAATTTCTAATGTTGCTATAAATGTAGTATCTCAATTTAAAAATCATAGTTGAGAAACATGAACATCTCACTAAAATATGCCAGACTTTCTTCTTCATTGCTTCAGCTGAAAATCATTCAGAACTATTACAGTAAGATTGTGTTTCATATTTTCATCGCGTGATGAACACCCAACAGGGAGGCAACATGACTTCTTTAGGGAAGAGTGTATGTATAGCCAAATGAAACTGGGTTCCCAATAACCAGTGACACTGCACTTCAATATGAGTTTATGATACAGAGGAAGAAGAAGAACAAAGGCAACTGAGTGGGGTGAAAGGGGAAGATGAGTAACAGACTTACCCAATAAGAGGCCAGAAATCCCAAGTTTATAGTCTGTGTTCTCTTCCCTTTATAGGCAGGCACCGGCATTAGTTGTGGTTTCATCAGATCAGACCTGCATTGTGATAGTACCTTACAAAGGTGGAGCCAAGCTGGAGTGAGGAGGGCAGGGAAAGACAAAGACACAAAACAGAAAGAGTGGGTTAGAGGCAACAACACGGTATCATATCCATCCCAAGCAAAAATGGCATGAATCTTCCCATCATTCCCATATCAATGTTCTCAACAGTATTCAAACAATTTATTAAGAATTCTGAGGTGAAAAGTTTATTCAGAGGAATGCTCATATGATGAGGCTTTAATAAACCACCGTTCCTGGACGGAAAGAAATACATAGCACATTAGATTTTCCTGGTCCAAGTACACTGCTGAGACTCTTGGTGGACACATCTGCTTTAGACACCCAGAAGCTACACCATCCACCTAAAACTGAAAACAAGACATCAGATTAAAGAAATGTACATGTGTAATACATCCTTAAGCAGCACTTGTGGCATAATTTGCAGGGTATAGCTACATTTGTTATACCCAAAATCAAGCCTCATGTTTAGTTGTAACAGCAACAGCCAGTAGCATCTATTTCTGAGTCACTTGTCTTGGATAATTAGTTTGCCAAGAGCATGAGTCATCGAGTCAGAAATTAGAGAATGACTCATTTCTAACTTTATACTAATATTATACTTAAAAATAAAAAGGACTCCTCTCTTATCCCAAAATTGTTTAATGTTTTGGTTCTTTTCACAATGCCAAAATGTGCTTTATATAGAAAATCTGGATTAATTGTTGGAATAATTATCTTCTCTTTATAATGCCATTCACTCAGAAAGATCTTATGGTGCTTTATAAATGTGTGTGTATTTTTCAGTGCACCCACATATATGATGAAGTGTGGCAGTACTTGCCAACACTACACAAAAGCACCTGACTGAATTTGCAGTCAGATCCTGTAATTTGTTGCAACAAGAAAGGAAAATTCAGATGCACAAAACTGAATCAGTAACAGTGAAATGTTGCTGTTTACATCTTTTGGCAAAATCGGGTTCATTCTGACTACAAAGGGTCAGATCAGCCAGTACTTGGTAAAACTCTTCATTTCAGTGGGAATCTTCCAATTTCTTCAGATTTCAGCTGTGACCCAAGATTCAGTAAGGAGGGCTGACTTGTTTCCTAACTCTGCTTATTCTTGGCTCCAGCATGTTGTGACAACATGAGGCAGGGCAGCATCAAATTGAGAACAAGATGTTGAACTGCATTTGGAAATAATCTCGAACTTGGCAAGTCTGGTTATGCCCAAAGACTGCAATCCAGGCAGCCACCTGCATATTTGAGTCCTTGCTGAAGAATTGCCAAAGATGTAACTTCACACACAATTTAGTCAATCTAAGACTGCCTAACACAAGAGAAGCAGCCCTGCCCTCCTGTCCTAGCAGCACTTCTGCCTGCTCTTCTGCTGTTCCAGCATCTACCTGGCCACAGAAATCTACTTGCCGATTTGGTTGAAAATAATGGCATAAAAATGTGTTAAAAAAAATCAGCTGCTCATTAGTCCACCCTCTGAGAAGCAACCGAGACTTCAAGAGTTTTCCTCATCTTTCGTCTGCTGGTCCCCTATGGATGAACAAGACTTCTCTTCAAGGACTGCAGAGAGCACTGTTGTCCCATTGCATGGCACAAATACAGACTCTTTTTTTCAGGAGTATGATTTTGTTCTACTCAGGGCAGATGTCTAGCTTGCATCAAACTCTCTGCCTTCTGTTTTTTCTACAGGCTGGGCAATGCTCAGCCTGCAATATAGTAAAATATAAGCTTTAAAAAAAAAAAAAAGAAAAAGATGAGCTCACAACAAAACAGGAATGCCCTGAGCCATTTGCTATTGTCAAAGAACCCTTATTTTCAAGTCCTTTAAAGATAAGTCACTGGTTAAGAAATTTGTTTTCTAAATGCTCATTCCTTGTCCTTTTATCGTACTGTAGGATAACTATGTTACCGAAAACTAGACATTAATTCTGATATCTAAACTAAGAGGCTAATGAAGAAAGCAAGGTTCCTCCAGAGGGTAATTTGGATTACACTTCTATTGCTTAGCGGTGCCATGCAACACAAGTGCACTTCCAGAATAAGAGTTTAACTTAGGCCTGAATCCATTCTGAGCATTTCTCCCCACTGGCTGCACAGGAAGCTCAAGTTAAAACATCTGAAGGTCAGTGGTGTGACTTTATCACTCCAATCACATCTTCACATGAGTTAAAGCAGAAGCCCTGAGTGCCCAAAGCCATGAGGACATTCCAAGGAAGGGTACATAATGTCAGAGAACAGCACTGGTTTCTGAGGTCAAGACAGCCGGTTGACACTTGACAAGAATAAAAGAAGCTCTCTCTTGGGTGTCCGAGTCAGAAAGATGAGAAATACTACACTGAAATACTGTAATGGCTACACTGTCTGCTCCTTGGATTTAGCCCATGTAATTTGAGCAGTAAGCTTCTTGCTCTTGATCCACATCTTTTTGAAGATATATATATTTTTGAGACAATGAAGTGTCCAGTCTTTTGGCTTCTAAACAGAACTTATATACATATGTACACACACAGCCTCCTTTAGTGGAAATCTTTCAGTTTCTTCAGCTATCAGTTATATATCTGATATGTATTTAGATATATCTTGGTATCTTGGCCAGTTTCCCTATTTCAAAATTGCATTACTCTACATATGTACTGACTTCATGTTCCAATTTACTTATCTTGTTAAGTTTTTAGTAAGATGGCAGAGCAACAACTGAGAATGTAACTTGTAAGAATGTATTTGGTAAACTTTTCAGGGAATGTTCTGAGGGCTCTGAGACCATAAGACAGCTATTTAGAACCTGTATTTCAAATAACACTAAAAAAAAAAAAAAAAGAAACAATATTCTTAAAAAGTAATCCTAAGGATTAAAGCTCGAATTTCTTACACCATGAAGAATTTTCATAAGCAGCTTGGAACAAAATTAAACTTCTGAAACCTCAACTGAAATAAAACTCAAACATATGCTTCATTTTAAGGAAACTCAACCCCGAGATTTTACCTTTAAATTGTGGTTACCCATGCTGGTATTTACACAGCTCTGTGGATGATTGAGAAAGAATCAGTAACACATGGAGAGAAATAAAGTTTTACTAATAAGATTTGGAATGCATCTCCAGCCCTTAACCTGGAGCTTACACTGTCGCGCATAGCAAAGAATGGCAACAGGCCTAGTCTCAGAGCTGGAGCTAAAAAGACATTATGCAAACATTTGCAGAACTTAGGCACAGCTTTAGAAATAAAAAAAGAAAGAAGAAAAAAAGAGAGGGCATTTCAGAGAACCAAGCAAAATTTGGATGCACAGTTCAAATACCTTCATGAAATATAAGCAGCATACATGAAAAACATTTCCTGAAGTAGCCAGCGTTTCTGGACTGCATCTTCTGTATCAACAATACTATCCATTTGATGACCAAAGGATATAAAGACTTGAAATCCATAGGAAAACTCTAATGCAAGATCCAGACTATGTGAAAACCTCTTCTCTGTCCAGCACCATTGAGACATCCCTGCCCCAAAGCCACTACCTGTCCCTGGGCCAATGCCTGCCATGCCAGGGAGCACCCATGAGACTCAAGAAGCAGCTCATTGCTTAAAAGAGATGATAAAAGAAAGCATAACTACCTTGATAAAGAAAAATAAGCAAATGAACCGTCTGTGAAGTCATGAATTCATAAGATCAGCTGTGTGTGCATTAGAAATAGTATCACCCTGAAGGTAACTGATGGCAGTGGGGCAGTGAGGATACAGGATAAAATTAAAGGAAATGCACCCACCAGGCTGTGGAAATAAGAAGGATAAATAACACAAACTGCCCTGAAAGATAGGGATTAAAAAGGACTGGCATGGCAGATTACCAGGAGGATTACATAATGCACCATTTTTCTCCAAGACATCTCTGTGACAACGAACAGCAGTGCTCTTGCCAGTTGGCCCCAAACGAACCCTGCAGAAGGACTTGGCCTGCATCCAGGATGGGAAGGCAGTGCTGTCAGGGCACGGGGAACCACAGCAGAACCATGACTGATGAGAGAAAACTGAAATACTTTGTTAATTCCCTGGGGAAGGTGAGTTGAGTACAAAGGAACTGAAGCCAGTTCTGGTTTGGCTGCTGCTCAGATGTGCTGAAGGATGCTGGGCAGTGTTGATCATGTCTCTGATTACTTCTGACAGCGATGTAAAAGCAAGTTGAGAAATGCTGTCTCATAGGGCATACTCGGATGAGTAGACTATCCACAACTTTTGAATCCCATCCAAATAAAAGGCATACAAGTTTCCAAGGGTAATGGTAACAGTCATTTATAGAAATCTTTTCCGCCTGGGAGTGGCAACTTGCTACACAAGTTATAGAGAATTTAAAAAGAAACATAATCAAATTTCAGGGGTGAATGAGTTTCTGAATGCTGTTTTGGCAGCAGATATATTTTTTGCAACTGGCTGTCCTTGCACAAAACGCTTTAAGAAGAATATATTAGTGGAAAGTCATAAAGCTTACGTACATAGATGAAGTTGCTTCATCTCCCATTCCAAAGAAAGTTGGATTGGTTATGCTGACCTAATGTTTTGTTTATCATGGTTTGTGTGAGGCTAGGAACATGTTAGATTGTGGTTTAGTTTGCTCTTTCAGTATGCTGATGGTAGTCCTTTGAGATACAAGTTCAATTTAAAATTTAAAAATGTGCAGTATTATATAAATGGTTTTAGAAATCTAATATTCAAACTCAATGAAAATATTGCCAGTACCATGAGCTTTATTATTATTATGCCCCAGCTTAGCAAGAATAATTTTCTGCAGGACATAGAACCCAATCTTTTTAGGACTATACCTTGCAAAATATTCCAAGATCTTCAATTTTCCTTTCCAACAAGTAGAAGAGAACAGCTGTCAGGTTTGATTCCAGGAGCTAATTTTTCCCTTTCTTACAGAGTCATTCTCAGTCTCCTCCTGGTATGAAAAAGTTGATTTGGTATTAGGCAAGTTCAGTAGTTTTAATGCTGTTTAGGATAGAAAACCAAGATACTTTTTAAAAAGTGAGCCTAAGTTTTAAAGAATGACTTGAAGAACTTTTCAGTTTTGGTAGCAAACTATTTCAAATTTAACATTGCATCATTTTCTGCTGTTAAAACAGACCAACTCTTGCAACACGGCCTACATTCGAACTGAAATCAAGTATACATATTTTACTGATATGACATAACCTCTTTTTAAAGAAAGATAACATTTAATCCTAAAGACAACATCATCAAAGCAGTGGATACAGGATCTGTGTAGAATTATTCCTTTACAGAATTGCTTGGTGTTGCTGGTATTCGTTTCTTCAAATGAAAAACAAATGTTTGGTTTTGGCAGATACTAACTACTTTCAAGTTTCTTGTCCTTTTATTTCAATTAAAAACAGGCAGATATTCCTTATTAAAGTTCAAAGAATTTCTGTCTGATTCTGAGGG